CGAGTTGCCAAAATCCTTCACAAGGGAAGGGAAATACACCCAGCAACGCACACGCGAGTGCTTCATCTCATCTCATCTCCTAATCCGCAGCGTTCAGAGGAAGATTTAATTTGCTGGGCTCGAAGAAGCGCTCACCCTGCAGCATGCTGGCTGCATACCAATGACCAGGGGCTCTCCCCAGCTGCGGGAATCATCCTCCGGCAGCTCCTGGGGACACCCAGGGGGAAGCCAAAGCCTGAGGGGCTGCAGAAGGGCAGCACACAGGAGGCTCTGCACCAGTGTGCTTAACACTGAAAAAGACTGAATTTCCGATGGGGAAGCCTATTTGTGACAAATCTCCTTGGGCTTCTTTCCTACACCATAAAGAAAAGTCAAACAAACCTCTTGCAGTTACTAAATTGCCTCATCTCTGAGCATCCTGGCCAGCCCAGCTGTGGACCAAGGTTTCTTCTTTTGCAGATGAAGCCCCTTGAGCATTGTCCCAGACTTTGCTCCAGATTTGGGGTGCAGATGCCATGATGTTGATTCTGTTCAGGATAAGCCAGGGCTCTTCCCAGTTTGCTCATAGCCACAGACACCAAAACCTGGAACTGAGACAGCCCAGGGCCTATAGCCTTCTCCACTGGAGCCCCCAAATGCTCCTCTGCCCCTTCACACTGCTGCAAGCTGATTTGACAGGGAGAAAAGCTGGTGTTTTTTTCCCCCTAACCTCGCTTACAGCCAGCATGCTGGCTCTGAAAGCCCCTGGCTGTCTTTTGTGATTTCAACAAATCACCAGCACTTAAGCAAAGTGGGCAGAAAATTACAGGTTGTATTGCAAGTGAATGGAGAGGGAGAGCACGCTGGGGCTGAGAAAACAGAGGTTTGCGGGTATAATAGAGAAACCAGTGTCTGGCAGGCTGCGGAAGCCTACAAAGCCATCAGGTATTAGTTAAATGCTTCGTGGAGTTCACGCTGCGAGGCATAATCGCAGCTTCTGAACAGCAGCCATTTGATTGTCTCTATTATGTCCCTTTAGAAATGATTTGGGAGATATTTTGCTTTGAGCTGTCAAGGTTAAGTCAAGGAAAGCGCTGTCCCTCTGACATAAGTCTCCGAGGAGGCAGAAACCCTTGGCAAAAGTCTTTGGGGGAAAGCGGGTGGGATGCCGCTGCTCTCAGAGGTCTTTCCTCATGCTTCTCCCTCTGAGCTTGCTCCTTGACCGTTCTCCCTGTGTTTTTTCTGCTGCCAGATGAGCTGTCTTGGGGATGAAATACCAGTCGGATTGCGTGCCTAGTGTCCTAAAGGAAGGGTCTCCGTGCAATCGCCTTGTCCAAATGCGTCTGTCATTCCCTCCTTGTAACTCCTGCTCTTGTCAGCTGCTTGCAGCCAAGCCTGGCTGAGCTGTTGAGGTCTCAGAGGTGCACACGTTCAGTGAGCCGAGAGGAGAGAAGGAGAGGAGAGGAGAGGAGAGGAGAGGAGAGGAGAGGAGAGGAGAGGAGAGGAGAGGAGAGGAGAGGAGAGGAGAGGAGAGGAGAGGAGAGGAGAGGAGAGGAGAGGAGAGGAGAGGAGAGGAGAGGAGAGGAGAGGAGAGGAGAGGAGAGGAGAGGAGAGGAGAGGAGAGGAGAGGAGAGGAGAGGAGAGGAGAGGAGAGGAGAGGAGAGGAGAGGAGAGGAGAGGAGAGGAGAGGAGAGGAGAGGAGAGGAGAGGAGATGAAGGCCTCCGTGGTGGGGATGGGTGGGCTCAGCCCCACACTGCCCACCTCTGCGCTATGGGGAGCTCTGCTCCTTTTCCCCCAGCATCAGTCCTGGTACTGCGGACTAGCCAGGGAACAGACTCTGTGCTTTGGGCATTGCTAAATAAATATCTCAGAGGCAGGCATGGAAGCTGTCCCCAAGGACTGGGGTCAGACCCAGAGACCCCAGAGGGACAGGAAGGAGAACATCATTAAGCCATGGATGAGTGATTTGGAGTTCAGGACTTACGGGGAGAAAAAAAAAAAAAAAAAAGAAAGAAAAAAAGGATTCAGAAGCACAAAAAACTGCTCCATGCTGGCCTGGGTGGGAGTCTAAGCCATGCCCCGCTGTCCCCTGTCCCCACTGCCTTTGGGGATGCCACAGCCACACTGAGGGGGGGGAGCAGAAGGACCCTCTGCGGGGGGGGTAGTGGCTGTAAATAGATCTGACCAGCGTCACTATCGATTTCTGCTGTGCGGAGCTGTAATTAGATGGAGCTGGGGAGGGGGGTGCTGGGCTGCGTCAGCAGGAAAATAAATTAATAAATAAACAAACGAGCACAGGAAACACAGGATGCATCCACCGCCGCATCGCAGCCTAAAAATAAGGGGGGGGGGGGGGGGGTAGGGGGGTGCATAGCAGGGCATCACCTCTGTCCATTGTCCATGCAGTGCTCAGCACCAGTCCTAGTGCTGGGGCATGGTTTGGCCAGCAAGACCCTGACGGTCAGTGTTTGCCTCGGAGCTGTGGATTATTAATGGGCGACTGGTTTGTGATAATTATTTGTAATAACTGAAGCAGGGAGTGAGAAATGTGGGTTTGCAAAGCCAACATGCTGGGTGATGGGCTGGCCATCCCGCACCACCGGTGGGAACGGGTGCTGCTGGGCAGGGCAGGATGGATGCGGGGGCTTTACTGGGATCGCAGCAGGCATTTCCCACGGGGGCATGTCTATATTTACACACCCCGATACACACCTGCTGTATGTATGCTGTATGTGCCATCCATGTGGAGCAAAAGCGGGGGGGAGCAGGGTGCCCACCCACGCTGCCAACACGGGGCTGGAGCCCAGCATGCCGGGGGGACACCGGGGGACACCGGGAGGGCACGCAGCAGCGGGGGTGCAGGGTCCATCAGGGTGAGGACGTGCTGCTCCGCACCAGGGCGGGGGACTTTCTCCATTTGTTTTTCCGGGGGGCATTTGGGTGGGGGCATCTATTTTTAATTTTAAATCATGTCTGGAAAAAAAAGTCAAATTTTCTATAAAGGCTTTTTTTGTTTGTTCTTTTTGCAAGCATCTGATGGTCATAGGGTAGGTTTCCACTCAACCCTTCTCTGGTGGCTATTTGAGTATGGTGCCCCTGGGACAGGCTGCACCAGGGCTGGGACTGTCCCTTGTCCCTGCGGATGCTGGTTTGCAGCCTCTGGACTCAGGGAATTTTGCAAACCTTGCTGGGGGAGGAGGAAGGGAGGGGGAGGAAGGCTCTAAGGCTCTCTGCTTTACCAGGGACAGCTGATTTTGACTGAGTGCCCACTGAGGACCGAGTCCAGCAGACAGGGAAAGGAGGTTAAATGTGTTGGGTGAATTACCTGCTTTGCTGAGCATGAGGCCTCCCCAGGTTTGGGTGGAACGGGGGGAAATCATCCTTCTCTGTGAGCTCAAGGTGGTGCAAAGAGGACCTGTAGAGCAGGCGAGCTGCAGAAAAAAATAAAAATTAAAATTAAAGAGAGACCTTGCTCATTCTCCAGCTAGGAAGAAGTGACTTCCAGCACCCTGCTATTACTCCGAGGCTTCAGGGCTCCCTGATGTTTTACCCAAGCTGGCAGGGGAGGTGGATCTGTAGAGCAGGGAGGTGGTCACCCCAAGGCAATAAACGGCCGTGGACCCACGGTGCTGCCCCATCGCTGCCCTCAGCCCTGGCTTCTGGCTCCTCCAAGGTCCGCAGCAGCTCGACGAGGCTCCTGGAGGTGCCCTCAAGTGGAGAGCTGTCATCCAGCCACCTCCCAGCAGAAAATGCCTCAAAGTTCCCTCCCTGCACAATCCTTTGGAAGAGCCAAACCAAGAAACCCACAAGAAAAAGGTGGGGCAAGGGTGGGACTTTCCTCAGCAAGTCTTTAGATCACATTTTCCTGGCTCTCGTGCTCTCTTGTGAGCTTCCCAGGAAGAAACAGCGTGTGCCCAGCCTTGCCCAGGTCCTGACCCAGCCAGGTCCCTGGGCACCCTGATGTCCCCTCGAGGCTCAGCACAGCTTTGTGGTGGACCTGCTTTGAGTGGGGACAGTATCCTCCACCAGCCTCAGTTATTCTGTAATTTTCTAGAAAAATATCATAGCAAAAGGCACTTTTTCTCCCCATTCCCACTGACCGTGTGCCTGATATTCCTGCAGCTGGCATTCATGTATTTACCACAATGTGCACGCTGACCTCCCTCTGTTCCTCGCAGTCCGTGTGGTGCTGTCAGAGGGGCTTTCCTGGCCCCAGCTGCCTGTCCCCATGTGCCACCCACAGCCCCTCTGGCCTGACCTACCACAAAAGACAATCAGCAGGGAAGACTTTTAATTAGGTGCAGGCTCAACCTGATGCTCGTGCCAACAGAGCTGGTCATGAAGCCATGCAGGGAGCCGCAATATCCTGGAGCTGCAGGTGGCTCAGGCTCTTCTCCAGCCTCTGGAGGCAGGAAAACCCTTTCCAGAGTGGCTGCAAATGAGACCGATCATCCAGCCTGTGCCATGAGACGTCAGCTGCAGCCCAGGCAGTCCCCCCGTCCCCATCCCTGGCTGTTCCCTGTGTTTTGGAGCTGGCAGCTGGATGTGACGGCCAAGAGATGGTCCCTGAGTGGTCCCTGCAAGAAATGCAGATGCGATGAGGAGGCAGTGGAGACTGGAGTGCAGCAAGGGAGGGAGGCTGATGAATAATCCCTGTAATTTGGGAATGGGGCAGGTCCCTGTAGGCAGGCTGTGGGAGCAGAGGCAGCCCGGTCCTCAGTCTCTTGTCCCAGGGTCAGCAGCTTATGCTGAGAGTTGTTTTTTTCCTGGGTGGCCAGAGGTGCTGGGCTTCTCACAGGCTTTGCTCATGCTGATGCAACGGGCTCTTGTCCCACCCCAGCAGATGCTTGGGAGGCCCAGGGAGGAAGAGGAGGGAGGCAGCCAAGGGAACGGTGGGCAAAAAAGCCGGCAGGTTCCCTGGAGGGAAGGGCCAGGTTTTGGGAGGCAGCCAGGCAGCCTGCCAGTGGGCCAGGGTGGTCAGCACCGATTAATGGCCCTGTTCTCTCTTTTGAACATTTAGCTTGCAAACGCAAAGAGCAAGAGCAGCAGAAAGACAGGAGCCTGCAGCCCAAGAAGCAGCGGCTGGTCTTCACGGACCTCCAGCGCCGCACCCTGATTGCCATCTTCAAGGAGAACAAGCGCCCGTCCAAGGAGATGCAGATGACCATCTCGCAGCAGCTGGGCTTGGAGCTCAACACTGTCAGCAACTTCTTCATGAATGCCCGCCGGCGGTGTATGAACCGCTGGCAGGAGGAGCCAGGCACCAACCCCGGAGTCCCCTCTTCTTCTACAAGCACTTTCTCCAAAGCATGATGTCCCCCAGCCCTCCCTGGACATCCCTTCCCGGACATCCTCCTCATGACAAAGCCAACCCAGCCTCACACGCATGCCCCGAGCCGAGCGGGGTGGGTGCTTTTGGGTGCTGCAGGTCCCTAGGCCTCCCGCCCCCTCAGCTGGGTGTCACCCGTGGACATGAGCCTGGTGCCACGTCCTGCTGCCACCTCCTCCCAGCTCGAGGAGCAGGGACAGGGCTTGCAGCCGGGCCAGCTCCTTCCCATAGGGTCTTGGAGGAAACCCCCGTGGAGCGAGGGATGAGGGGGCGAGGTGCTGCCCTGGGAGACCTCACAGACCTCATCTTTACCCAGCTGTCGGGGTCCGGTTTTTGGGGAGAGGGGCACCCCATCCCCTCCTGTTCCCCCCCACAACTTCCACCTCCAACACAACCACCTGTAGGGTGGAAGGGTAAAGGCGGAGGGGATGCAAGAGGTGGAGTCGTGGGGCCAGGTTCTTGCACAACCCTGTTTTGCCAGGGCCAAAACCCTCATTGTTTAAGGCAGGGGACGGGCAGGGAAAATGCTCCCTGCATGCCTGGAGGTGACCCCAAGTCTCTGGTTGCTGAAGCCTTTTGCTCCCCTAAGTGCAGCAGGCTTTCCCAAAGCAGCCAGACCCCCTTTGCCATTGAACCCTGGGCTCGCCTCTCCCTCAAAGCTTTTGGAAACCCACCCAGGGGCATCCCACAGCCCCGCTCTCCTCCACAGGTACCTTCCTCCACTCCCCTTCCCGGAAACCCCCAGGAGCACCCACCCCACGACCCCCCAGCCCCCCCATGCACATGAGCACCCCGACCCCATCCCTGGGTCCCCCTGAGCGACTCCGTGGGCCCGAGCATCCCCAGCGCCACGGCCAGCGGGCACCGCGGCCGCACCGCCTCGCGCCCATGCAGGTCAAGAAGCACATTTTAGCTACAGAAATCGGGTATTTAAAAATACTAATTGTTTGAGAGGAGACAGGAGGAGAGACTTGGAGCAAAGGATCGCATCTTTCACGGCAACCAGCTTGGGGCCAGGCTGGCTCCAGCATTTGCCACGTGATTTCTGGTTCACTTTTGGGTTGAGGAATGAACTCAGACAAAGCAGTTTTGTTGGCTTTGTGTCTCGCCCTGTCCTCCCCTCCACACACTGTTGCCCCCTCTCTGCATCCTGTCTTCATCTCTGTTACCAAAGAAGTTGCAAAACCAAAAACCCAACAACAAAAACCCTCCTGGGAGGCAGCGTCGGAGCACGGAGAAGGAAAATCCCACGGACCTGGTTGCAAAATCCTGTGTGTAAGAAGGGGAAAACTCCCCAGCGAGCTCGAAAGGGAAAAACCAAACCCCAACAGAATAACAACAGAAACCACAACCAAGCAAGCTCAACGCAAAGACCGTCAACTTTACAAAAAGACAAGATTTTTTTTTTTTTTTGTGCCAATTAACAACCTGCCTTAAACGCGCAATTCTGGAGCAATGGTACTAGCTTCAAAACGGTCGTTCCCTCCGAGCTCTCGATGGTGACTTGTGCCATATGAAAAGCAATCACGAGGCCAAACCGTTGCAATCGGCCGTCGCCCCAGCCCTGCGGGCTCCGTGGTGTCCCCAGGGGGACGGAGGGGCCACGGGGATGGGGAAGGGCTGGGAGAGGCTTGGGGATGGAGGGGAAGGCCAGGTCCCCCCCCTCCCGCCCCCGTCACTTGGGGAAAAAGAAAAATCCTCCAAAACCAACCAAAAAAATAATGGAATTCACTATTGAATTTATGCGGGTAAAATAGTACCATCTGTGTTCTAGCGCTATGGTTTCTTCGATTTACTTTACTTTGAGAGCGATCTGTTGTGTAATAGGAAGGCACCTTGTTGAAAAGAAGGAAAAAAGGAGAAAAAAAAAAGTGTCATGTACACATACACAAAAAAAAAAAAAAAAAAAAAAAAAAAAAAGCACCCCAAAAAATGAGGAAAGAAAGGACGAAAGAATGAAAGAGAGAAAGAAAAAAACCTGCAAGAGAAGCCCCGGCCCACTGCGCTCACCGGTGGGGTTAGGGGACGACTTTTGGACAGTTTTACCAAAGAGCTGATGGGGCAGGTGGGAGGGAAGGGGAAGGGGTCTGGAGCGGGCATGGACCCACAAACGGCCCCGAACCATTGCCAGAGGGAGAGGCTGGGTGAGAGGGAGGGTGATGGAGAGGAGGAAGGGCCAGGAAGGGGCAGGTGCCAACCAGAACCAAAAAGGAACAGCAAAGCGAATCCCACCCCCAGCACCCCGCTCCCCGCCACTGGTGTTCCCCTAACATTGTTTCTTCTTGTCTTGTCGTGACGTGGTGACGATGGGGGTGGCTTCCTGAACCCCATCAGGTAGTATTCAAGGGCTGAAAAGCCAGGAAGGGGGCCTTGGTTTGGGAAGTGAAAAACATGCAGAAAAAAAAAAAAAAAAAAGAAAAAAAGAAAAAAAAAACATACACACACACACACAAAAAAAAAAAGTAAACGCCACAGGCCCTCAAGGATGCAAAGACATTTCTAGTGAGAACCCGAGAATAAAGGCTACCTCACTTGAGTTTTCAATTTTTGTGATTTGAAAATCACGTCTGATACCAAAGATTTTGTTGCCTTGTCTGGTCTGTGCTGGCAGCGCCGCTTTCCCTGCGCCCGTGCCCCATGAGTCCCCAGAGAGCGAGAGAAGGCGAGCGAGCGTCCCCGGGATGGCAGCGTGGTCGATGAGTGCCTTTTTCTTGTACCAAAGGTGTGTGGCCATTTCTTTGCTCCTCCGCTTTTGTCCTGAAGACTCACTGTTACCTCAGCTCTCCGAACGGATGGATTCTGGCAACTCTTGTAGTCTTTGGGTGTTGGGATGGAGAAAACAAAACAAACGAAAAAATCAAATTCTTGTCCTAATGGAAGAGGAAGCATCGCCCTTCCCTCTCGCTGGGCTGTATCCCCAGCGTGTTCCCCCCCCCCCCCGATGTCCCTGTTTCCTCCAACCTGCCCTGATCCCCAGGGTCCCCCCTCCAGCTCCTGTCCCCAATCTGGCCGTGCCCCACCAGCACTGACCTGGTGGCTCTGTCCCTTCTTGTGGGGACAGGGCTCGCTCACTTCTGGGACCGTGAAGTTGTGGCTTCCACCACAGGAGGTTTCTTCTCCACTCAGCTCAGACTCGAGCCTTGGTTTCCCTTTTTGGTAGCCCAGGGAAGGTTCCTGGCATTTCTTACCACTGGCATTCTCCAAGCCTCTCTTTTAGTGAGCAGTTTGGAGCCTGAAGTGTTTCAGCAGGAAATGTTTCCAGGTTCCTGCAGAAGCAGTTTGGGCTTGTTGGGCGAGGTGGGTGCAGCTCTGCTTTAGAAAAAGACAACGGGAGGACCCTCAGGAGAAGATGCTCTTCTAGAGGAATCCCCAGATGACTAGCTTAGGGAAACCTTGGGTTGAATCGTACCTACTTGGTTCTTTTACCTACTTGGTTTCTTTTTTTTTTTTTCTTTTTTTTTTCCTTTCTTTTTGGGTAAAGATTTCCAGCCGCAATGGGAGCAGATTGGTGGCCTCACCATCCAGATGGGCTCCATGCAATGCAGCTTGCAGGAAATCACTCCTTTCGAATTGGACCAAACTTGGCCAAAATCGTGACCCTGGCCGGGACCCCCGCAGGGGCACCACAAGCCGGCCCCAGCCCCTGCATGCCCCTGAGATCAGGTCAGAGCATCCCCCCCTCGCCTTCCCTGTCCCCTTCCCCTCCGCACTATTGCCTTGGCCAGATCCTGCCCGACCCCGCTTCTACCTAACACCCACTTGGCTTGTGATACCAAAGACGTTCTCTATGCAGGAGAAAGCCTTCTTTACCACCCAGCACAGACCTTACAAGCCTTTGACAATGTTCTCTGAAATACCTCAAAATATTTAATGTATAGTTTATGTGATAAAAAAAAAAAAAATTACTTAGCTAGTTTTTGGAATTTGTGACTTGAAGCTTTATACTGTTAAATTATAATTTTGCAGAAGACGGCATGTTCTTATTTCTTTGATGCGTTCAATGGGAGACATATTGAATGTTAAGGAAATGAAAGCTGGATAGTTTCACGATGAAAAAAAGAGAGAGAGAAAGAGAGAGAGAAAGAGAGAGAGAAAGATTAAAAAAGGACCCTTGGAGTTTACAGATTTCGTATTTAAACAAGTCCTTTTAAAAAAAAAAAGAAAAAAAAGAAAAACTAATAATGATGATGATACCTTTGCGTTCAGATGTGTTACTTTTCTCTGAGTCATGTCGTACAAGAGTATTTATTATATGTGTTCTGTGTTCAAATGTAATTTAAAGAAGACAAAAAAAAAGACAAAAAAAAAGACAAGATGAGAATTTGATTTATGCATGAAAAAATATACTCTTTCTTGAAGTAATGTAATAATTATTCGGGGAGGGGTGGTCGGGTGGGAGCGGGAGGGGACAAACTGTGCTTTTTTTGTCCATGATTTTGGGTTGATTAGGACTTCTCTGCATGGATCATTTTTTTATTTTTTTTTCCAAATCACGCAATCATGGGAGAGTTGTCCTTTATCCCCTTGTTGGTTTGCTCGCCTCGTTTCTTCCTTTTCCGTTCTCTGCCCATCACGTTGCCCCAGCGGAGGGGCTCTGGGGAGCACGGGGGGACACAGCCCTGTGTGTACCCCAATCTGGGTACAGGTGTCTGGGACACGGGACCCCACTGTGCACCCACCTGTCCACCCATGCCAAACCAACCTGCCAGGTCCCGTGCCTCTTGGGTTTGGGGCTTTTTTTTGTGCTTTATCCAGATCTGTGTGTCAAACCCCAAGTGTCTTCATGCAGAAGAGAGACAGAGACAATCAGCCACCTCCACCTGATTTTGTGACACCCCAGGCTCTTCGTGTGCTCTGAGACAAGGGAAATGGTCCCGGCGCCCCAACACTACTTGTGCTGGGTCCCTCTGGGCACTGGAAGCTTTTCCTGCTGAGGATGATGAGGTGCTGGATCGGGCTGCCCAGAGAAGCTGTGGATGCTCCGTCCCTGGAGGTGTTCAAGGGATGGGGCTTTGAGCAGCCTGGGCTGGTGAAGGATGTCCCTGCACATGGCAGGGGTGGGACTGGGTGATCTTCAAGGGTCCCTTCCATGCCAAACCATGCTGTGCTTCTATGATCGCCCCAAGCTCGGAGTGGCCTTGAAGACCTGCCTCCGTCCTTGCCCTCCATGGGAAGAGGCACTGGAGGTGGTGCTGCATCAATGTCAACCTGCCCCAGAGATGGACTGGAGTGACCTGTTTCCAATGGATTTCTACCCAAGGATGTATTTGAGTCAGTGGCATCATTCAGCTCACAGCATCTGCCCCTGTGAGGCTCTCCCATGTCACCTGGCCTGGCCCCAGCCCTTCACAGAGACACCTTCTCCATCTGAAGGGGTACAAAGAAGAAGATCCTGGCCAGAAGACGTGATCCTGGAAGACCCCATCTCACCAGCAGGTCTCAGAGGACATTGGGAGGGTCCCCCGTCTGCCCTGGGGAGCTCTCCCCAAATGTCCACAGAGTCCTCCTGAACAGGCTGCATCCCCTGCTCCTCTTCCTTAAAGATGGGAGGAGAGTAGGAATGAGGAGTCATGTCTTTGGGGGACAGGAAGGTGATGGGGCCAGGAGGAAGCAATGTTAACTGCTTGTTTCCGCTTTCCCAACATGACAACAGCATTTACTTGGAAATGCCGATTCTTCAGTCTCCTTCTGCCTCTTCACCTCTCCATCCTTCACCTCTGTCACCAGATGCAGCTCCAAAGTTCAGCCCACTGAGAGGAGCAAGATCCCAGCTTCTTTGAGCCCCACCAACGTGGCCCCCAAAGGCATAGTAGGGTTTTTATCTGCATTTAAAGCAGTGTCCCTGCAGCCTTCGCCTTCTTTGTGGCCGGCACTAAGCAAAATGCTCAGTACCAGGCGGAGGGGGGACAGACAGGACTCACTGACTAAAGATTTGGGCTTTAGGAGGAGACGTGGTTTCTTCCAGCAGCACCATCCATCTACTAAACATCCCTTCTCCTGTCCTCTGGGGAGCTCTGCATCCCTTGAGCCCCAGCTCTTCCTGCAAGACCTCTCCCAGGGAGAGAAGCTTTGGTGTTTGGCAGCCAAGACCTTGCTTCCACCCACGAGAAGCTCTCACCAAGCCTGGCGTAACCCACAGCCACAAGTCCTCGGCCCCTGCAGAGACCGGCGTGTTTCCAGCTCCAGTTACGAACTGAGTGGCTTGGGAAACCCGGAGGAGCTGAGCACTGAGAGTTGTCCTTGTCCTTCAGCCCACCAGGACCCCCTGGACCAAAGCTCTGCCCCACATGGGATCCGGCCTTGCCTGCTGCCCACACCTACCAAAAATGCCTTGAGGAGCAACTTGCCACGATACCAAAGATTTTTTTTTTCCCTGCAGGTAATGACAATCCAAATTCTGTCCTAAAGACAATTCTCTGGACCAGGGTTGCCCCAAAAGGCATTTTTGTGCTGTGGGGAACAGGAGCAGAACCGAGGCCCCATGGGGCACCTCAGAGGACAACGAGAACAGCTCCTGCCCGGTGGGGACCATCGGGGAGCAAAGCCTGGGGCTCCGACTGCTGATGGAGGGCAAGGAAGAGGAGGGAGCCCGGGACCTCTTGCCCCACTGAGCCCCATGGTTCAGTCCAGCGATCGTGCCCTATTCCACTTGTGGAAGTTTTCAGGGATTGGGGTCATTTCGTTACTTGTGAAGCCTCAGGCTGGTTTTCCCCTTTGGTCTTCACTGTTGGCTTTTGCATGTGCCAAAAACAAATAAATAAATCACTAAATTCCCAGCAGTGCAGCAAGGTCTCCAGGCTCACTGGAAGGAGCACAGGGCTCGTGGGGCCTCAAAGCTAGGCTTTAGGCGTAGATATTCCATTATAACACAGCCAGAGCTGAGCTTTCCCAGCTCTAACGATGCCTCTGATGATGGGACACCAGCACAGAGTGGGCCAGGAGCGCGCACTTCTCCATGCCAAGCCTGGGAGCATTGGGGTGAGGTCCTTTTTTGCAGTGCCTCTTCCTGATCAGAGCTGAAACCCATGGGCACATCCAGCCCTGGGGCTGATCGGGAGGGCGATGGGGACAGCGTGCAGCCAAGAGCAGCCGAGCCGCGCTGCCCAATTCCCAGGTGCAAACCCTGGGTGTGCACTGGGGTCTGCTTTTGGAGGCTACACCAAAGCAGCCCAGGACCGTGGGAACATCAGCACCGTGCATCCCTGGTGTGAAATTGGCTCCTTTTCCCTTGTCTCAGAGGACACCTGCAGCAAAAGAGGCGCTGGAGCTGGGGCTGGGGCTGGACATACGGATGCTTCAGTTCCTTTTGCGTATTTCTTTGTTCATGGTTTTTAAAGAGAGGAAATTAAAAATGTAAAGAAAAACAAACTTTTTTTTTTCTTTCTTTCCACCTCTTAAATTTCTAAAGGAAAACAAGAAGTCAAGCTGAATTAATCCTGGCCAGGAAGAACCCACAGTGCCGGGCTTGCCAGTCCAGCCACCTTGAGAAAGCATTGCTCATTTTTCTGCATAGCAATAGGCAACACTCACGCCATCCCGTGTGGTCTGGGGGCTGCATCCCTGAGTTTTTAAATGACTTTTTCCTTCTAACTAAATTGGATTTCATTTTTATTTTTTGCTGCTGCTTCATTGTTAATCTCATGGGATAGGTTTTACTCTACAGCAAAATGCAATTGTTACTCCTCTGTGTCTTGCAATTATATTTGTTTAAGCTATTTACAAATGCTAAAAAAGAAAAAAAAAAAAAAAAAAGACAAAAAAAAGTCTTATGTGTCAGGCACTTTATCCAAACTGTGCTGTGTGCTCTGGAGTTTGTTCCTTGTTCTTTGCAATGACTTATGCAGGGGAAATTACCAGGAAACTTTACTCCAGCCTGTCAACAGGTTTTAAAAGAGAAAAAAAATCTCTATTTGTTCATCCTCTACTCGTCATGACTGTGTTGTATTTCTGCAGCTTTCTGTTTCTTCAATAAATTATTTTCTAGTCATTCACCCTGGTGTGCGTGTCCCGCACTGGCACAAGGGTCCTGGTCATGCTGCCGAGGCTGCACCCACAGCCCCCGGGACGATTTGCTGGAGCACTTACATGTGTCCACACTCAGAGATGGGCAGGGAGTGAATCCTTTTTGCTTTCAGCAATTTGCACATGGGGGAATTTTTCATCCCGCCTGGGGAGGGAAACCTGTGTTCCTTTTCTACATTCTTTTGTTGCTTTTCCTTGCACTTGTGCAGTGAAGCACATGGGTCGGTTCCCTTCTGACTGCTCCATGCTCCGCAGAGGAGAGGGATCGATGTCAGCGAGGAACACAGAGCTTGGCCCAGGAGAACCCAGCCCAGCCCCATATCAGGCAGCCCAACTGCCCTCCATGAGCATCTGGGTGCAGATTTGGGGAGCATCCCCAACCAACTGGGAGAAGTTGCTCCCTGGGATTTCCCAGCACATACCTGCAGGGGCAAGAGCTTTCCCACAGAAAGCCTCAGATCCATTTATTTCTCTCTTGGCACGACCCAGCACCCTCCTGGCCAGAGCCCAAAGGAAACACTTTAATTCTCATAAATTCAGTGCAGATGAGACCAAAGCACTTGTTAAACAAACACATCAAGTCGTGTGCTGGAAGCAGGTCCAAAACCCTAAGGCTGATATTTTTTGATATTTACTTGATTATCTCTTCCTACCATGCATTGTGCCATGGCACAAGCATTGGTGAGTGCCAGAGAGCTGCCTGCACACACCAAGGGACACCTGCAGCCCCTTACTTCGCAGCTTTCTTCCTAGAAAATTTGCTGGTAGCACAGCAGAGAGTTATAGGAGAGGAGAGGAAAGCCAGAGTCCTTTTAATTAAAAAATAAGAATAAAAAACGAGGTGATCCAGTCACCAGTCAGTTGTTCACACACTTTCCCAGCAGCTGCTGCTGTCCCTGAGCGGTGGCACTTCAGGACATGCACGCAGGTGCCTGCTCTGCAGCATCCCTTGGGCTGTGCATGGTCCCTGGCCACACCAGCTCTGCTGGGAGCTTTGGAGGTTTTGCAGCAAACATTGTGGGGCCACAGCTGTCCCCAGGATGGGGACATCGGTCCTGGGGAGCAGGATGTGGCAGGGATGGGACGGGACATGGCACGAAGGGCACAGCACTGCTGTGGGCTGAGGCACTGCTGTGTGCATCTCATGCGGAGATTGCAAAGATGTGGAGGGGTAAGAAAAGAACACCTGCACGGTCCACCAGCTGATGACTACTTTTCACAGTTTTCCAGGCTCCGGTGAAGCCACGGAGTTGGTGCAGGAGATGGAGCTGCTGATGGGACAAGCCCCAGGGTCCTGCAGCAGACCACAGGGGCTGCCCATGCAACAAACCCATCCAACTTGGATTAAAAAGCCCCCAGGAGAAGGAAGCCCCCCTGCCCCAGCAGGACATGGCCAGGTTGGCTATGGCGAGGGGCCATGGCAGGAGGGTGAAGGTGGGGCTGCTCCCTGGGGATGGAGACCCCCGGTGGCACGGGTGCCCTTGGTGCGCAGGCTGTCCCCGCGGGTGATGAGGCCGGCGTAGCCCTCCTGGTGGGAGAAGGCATAGCTGGAGCGGCGGCGGAAAGAGCCACGGTGGACATGGGCACGCAGCTCCACTGAGGGCTCCGGCTCACGCCTGGCCTTTGAGCAGATCTTCTGCAAGGAGAAAGGGGACATCAGGGCTGTGGGCACCTCCTGGCCAAGCTCTCGCCCTGAAGGTGGGTACAAAGCAGAGACGCCCTCCATCGAGATGGGGTTTGGCTCCCAGCTCCACCATGGCCCAAGCCTCTTGGGGAGGGTCTGTAGGGTGGGGATCTTCTTGAGCGTCTCTGAAGCTCACAGAGCTCTGGAGCACAATCCCCTCTGTACCACCAGGAAGGGATGATACATGGATGGAGATGGACCCAAGGCTATAGGGGGCAGCAGTGGGACATGAACCAGACCTGGTGCCTCCTAACCTGGGAGTTCTGGAGGCCAATTCCTGCCTGCAGGCAGAAGCAGACCTTCTCCAGAAGCTGGAGCAGCCTGCCCACAGCCTCCTCCTCATGAACTGACTCAGGGAGAGGGCCATGGAACCGGACTTGAGCACCAGTGTCCTGAGAGCAGGGTGTCCACCAGCTGTGGTGCCATCAAGCAGAGGTGACATGGCCCTGGTGGCTTCCCTAGGGATCCTCACCCTCCCCAGCACCAGCAACCTCCTTGCCAGCCCCAGACTCGTGCTGGTCAGAGGCACATCCTCCTCCCCAGAGCCCTCACCTGCTGGATGCTGCGTCTGCCTGTGATGGCGTGGTACGAGCGGACGGTGAGCGAGGGAACGGTGTTCACCACCAGGGACAGCAGGACCACGAGCAGGACGTAGGGATCTGTCAGGGCGTTCTGGCTGGCATCTGTGGGCAATGGTCAAGCAGTGGAGGTGGAAAGGAGAGGGGGAACAATGGGGAAGGAACAGGCCCCCACCCACAAAGGTGCTGAGGGGTCTAAAGAGAAGATGGCTCCTAAACTAGAGTCAGAAATCAACACAGCAAGATCAAGAGCCAGCAAGTTTGACCCCTGGGACCATAAAGCAGGAGGATCAGGCCAAGGGATGTGATCTAGGCAAGAGAAACCGTGATCTACAATGTGGGGAGCAGCCGCTAGCACTGAGTCCAGGCTGGGTTCCCCTGGCTCCAGGAGGGAACAATGTGCAGGGATGCTTGGGGTATCCCACCTGGGAAGCGGAAGATGGCAGGGGCTATCCTGAAGGCATCGATGCTCTGCGTCAAGTAGGAGAAGAGGCAGAAGAGCAGCAGGCTGGCTGTGACCATCAGGAAGGACAACGCCGTCCAGTGCTTGGTGTCCAGGATGATCTGCAGGGGCAACGGCAGAGCACACAGTGCCTCATGGAGGCTGGGGGAACCCCCTTTCATTTGGACACTTGTCTCTAATTCCTCCCCAGTCTCCTGGGGGATTGTCCCCCAGCCACACTGGGCAGTGTTGGAACGTGCCTAGGGTCCATCTGTCTCACAACCCATGTGCCATTTGGTTTGGTGGCCTTCAATCCCACGTCCTTGCCAGCAGCCTCCAGTGCCACCACACTCCACCCATTCCCAACTCAGGCACCAGAGATCAGCATAGGGAAGGGCAGACCGGTGCTCACCTCCACGAGGACTGACAGCAAAGCCGAGGTGGCCACCGTGACCGAAAAGGACTCGTAGTCACCCACAACTTTGCTGCCGACACAGTCCTTGAAGGCCCAGAGTGCGATATAGAAGCTGGCAAGTGAGGTGCTGACACCATGCAGGAGCGTCACGCCAAAGATGCGGTAGTTGAAGAGCTCATCTTGCTGCCCGATGGCATAGAGCTCAGGGAACTCCAGGCTCTTCTTGGCACTCACGTCCTGCTGGGACAAGGAAGGTGCTAAGCATCACCCTCCCCATCAGGATTGGGCTACCCCACTCGTGACACCCTTTGGGAGATTTGCAGCGCGTCCTCCACCTGCTTGTCCCAGAGGGGTGGGGAACTGGAATCCAGCCTACTGCTGGGCTGAGGATGCAGCCTCCAGGTACAGGGGCTGGTTGCAGCCCAGGGAACCCATACCTGCTCCAGAATGCCCACAGAAAGCACAGGGTGGGCAGTGTAGAAGACGTTGTAGAGCGCAAGGAACCAGCCCTCATACAGAGGCTAGAAGGGAGAATAAAGTGTCTGTGAGTTCAGTGCTGCTATGGAAAGACTCAGAAAGGATGCCCAGGCACTATGGAAGGTGTAAGTCTCACATCCAAACCCCAGGGAAAGCCCTATGGACTTGTTCTGAACTCTGCATCAGCCCTGGGTTGCCCTCAGTGCTCTGCAGGTCCGTGGGACTGTGCTGCAGGGTCAGGGGGCTGAAGCCACATCATGAGGGACAAAGGTCATCAGCATGACTTGACCACAAGTAAAAGCTTCCATTTTGGGGGAAAATAGATTAAGGCAAGTGGCATCTTTCCCTACATCTGTGTAAGGTTGAGCTGTTGCTCACAAGAGCTGCCACTGCCTCCAAGGACACCCTGAAGCTCCTCAGGGTGCTTTTCCCAATCAAACCATCCCAAACACAATTAACCGGCTACCCCAAAAATCCAGGGAGAAAGGAGACCAGGGTGGTGACGGGGACATGTGCCCATTGGGTGGTACCAGGCATGAAATCTGCACCGGGTCCCCAGCAGGTGAATTGTGGACATCCACAGAATGGATGTGTCCCTGCCGATACGCTCCCAGCACACCAGCAGCAGCCCTCACCTGAGCCGTGAATCCGCTGTGGAAAGCGAACCAGACCTGGGCCATGAGACCGGCAAAAGTCTTGTAGAAGAAGTAGCGGAGGAACTTGCAGATGCGGAGATAAGCCCAGCGGCCGTGGACGAGCAGGAGGCGCTGCAGGTAGGAGAACTGTGCCAGGGCGTAGTCGCTGCACTGCACGGCTTGCATGCCCTCCAGCCCGCTGATGCCCACCCCAATGTCAGCAGCTGCGGAGGACGCGGGAGGTTTTTGGGGAGCCCTTTGCGATGTTTGGACAGAGGGGGAATCCAGAAGCAATAGGCAAAGGGGAAAAGCCCTCCTGTGTGTCCCACAGCTGCAGGAGTGACGCCAGGCAAAGCTGGGCAAGTAGCAGCCCTATATCAGGGGCTGCTGGAGGGGCAGGGAGTTCTTTGCCAGTTGCCCAGGCTGGGGTTTGAAGAAACTTCAAGCCATCTCCACTGCCAAAGCAAGTGGGGCCCTGCTTCTGCCCCAGGCTGGTCCTGGCCTCATGCCTTTTGCTTCTTCCCCCCCCCCAGCACAGCCACATTGGGGACTGGGACACCCCACCCCCATCAGAGGGCCATGCTGGCCAAAACCCGGTTCTACCACAGCCCCCCGCCTCACTTTTGATCATGTTGACATCGTTGGCCCCATCCCCGATGGCCAGCGTGGTGGCCTTCTTGTGCTTCTTCACCAGCTGCACGATGAGGGCCTTCTGCTTGGGGGTGACCCTGCAGCAGATCACGGCCTGGCAGCTGGTGGCCAGGTCCACGAAGGCCTTCTCCACCAGGCTGCCCTGCTCCTGCGGGTCCGTGGCCCCACGGCAAGGCAGCCACTGCCACAGCCGCCCCTCCTTCTTCATCAGCACCTCTCCCGTGTGAAGGATTTTGTCCTTAGGAGAGAGCACACGTGGTTGGGGCCTCCTGCCGTGGCCAGCACAGAGGGATGGAGCCCAAGGGCTCTCCCACAAGCAGGGATGGGTGGGGCTGGTCTCAGCTCCTGCACATTCACACAAGTTTTGGGCAGGTACAAATGCACCTCTGCATCCCCTCAGTTGTAGGGGCACAAACATGGGCAAGGAAGGAGGATAACATTCAGAGCTGACTTTTTCCAAAGACCACCAGAGATGTCACAGTGTGAGGGTCCCCAGTGTCTCAGTGATGCTCTTGAAGCTCAGAAAAACAACCCATTTTCTCCGAGTTTGTCTTGCATTAGGTACTATGACCATGAGACCAGTTTGTCCCAGTAATGACCAGCAGAGCAAGATATCACCCACCAGCAGACCAGCTGGACATGTGTGGCTGAAACCCCCCAACACCAAGCAATTGGTGTGAGGTCATCTCCTCCTCCATCGTCCATTTCCCAGCCCAGAACAGGGTTCCTGTGGCTTTTCCCACCCACCCTGTGCAGGAGAGGTGTCCCCTCCTCCAAGTGCTGGTGCCACCAAATGTTTTGATAGCCCTGGGGCAGAAACAACCATCTGCCATCAAGGACAGGAGCAGGGGTGCCTTCCAAGTGCCACCTTACCAGGAAGTCCCCACTGATGATGAGAGCTCTCTTCTTGTGGCATGAAGTCCCTGGGTGCTGCTGGGAGAGGCGGCCGCTACCGGGGGCTTTCCTGCTGCTGCTGCGGCTGTTTGTCACCCTGTGAGCCTCGAGGATCTCGCTGTGTAGGAGGGGACATTGGGCACACTGAGTGGCTTTGGCAAAGGAGCATGGTTTGCCTTTGCCATCTCAAAGCCAGCTCCAGAGAGAAGGGGCTGGTACCCAGTGGTGGGAACAGGGGGGACAGAGATGGGGCTCCCTGATATCAGAAATCAGCCCTGGCCCATGTGCTTTGGAGGCAAGAGAACCAGGCTAAGCACTTTCTGGCCAAATCTTGCCAAGAAGAGAGCTAGAGGGGCATAAACAGATGGGGAGAACTGAGAAGGCATTAGCAGATAGTGATGGCCATGGCCATCCGGGCTGGGATGGAGAAGAGTGAGTGTGTTCAGCATGGACAAGCCACGTGCCCCCACCAACCTGATGTCCTGAGCTAGAAGGTCATGAAGACTCACCTTACTTCCTTCTCCTCCAGGATCTCCATGTCATCTGTGAGCAGCTTGCATGCATAGCCGATGTTCATTGCTGTCTCTGCAACATGGGCATCAGTGGCCTGTTGTGCCCCCCTGTCCCAGCCCCCGCTCTGGGGTACCTCAGCCCTGGGTGGGCAGCAGATGCTGGGGCTCTGCTCCAGCTCTATGCCAACATGCAGATGGCTTCCCCTGCCTCAGTTTCCCCTGGGTGACATGATCTAGGACATGCTGTTGTTGTATAGTAAAGGCAACAGCAGGGTCTGTTTGTTGCCTCCTCCCAGGGTCTCATCCATTCTCTGGCCCTGGCTTGGGGAGAAGCTGAAATGTGTTGGCTGCCTCCACTGACCTTGTTTGTCTCCCGTCAGCACCCACACTTTAATGTTGCCCAGTTTCAGCAGCTGGATGGTCTCAGGAACTCCATCTTGCAACTTGTCCTCAATGGCTGTGACCCCAAGCAGCTGGAAGGAAGGTTTAAGGGGGTGTCATGACGTGGGGTAGGGTGCCAGGGCAAGATACAGAGGTGAGAATTACCCCTGGATCCAACCAGAGGTCCTGTGTCCCTGCACACTCCTTCCCATGGGTGGACATGACCCAGCAGGTTTCCATCTGGGTGTCTACTGGCATGTCACAAAGTCACCCTGGGGGTATCTCTACCTGCCCTCCTACCCAGGATGTGGGTGTTGGGCTGAACACCCCATCACCCCACATAGCTGAACTCCACCCTCCTGCCCTTCATGGGCTGTGGGGACCAGTGCAGGTGCTTCTTCCTAATCCCCAACTTCATCCCACCTCCAGGTTCTGCTCCATCTCTTCGTACAGGCTGTCCAGCTGCCACACGCGGTCCTGCAACAGGATGCTGGCCTCCTGGTGCCTCCGGCTCCACTCGCAGTACTCAGCCTCACTCACCACCTTGCTGGCCAGGCATAAAGTCCTCAGGGTCTCCTCTGCAAAGCGCTACAGGGACGAGACATTGTGGTTCCCTTGCCTTGACCGGGACGACTCAGTGTCCCCATGGTCAGAGCTGGAGACCCACCAGGGTTTGAGGGTCTTCTCTGGGCACTGGCTGTCCCCCCACCCACTGTCATCCCCAGTGATGCAACCAGCCCGTGCAGAATCCCAAGGGTGGATTTGATGCCCTCTTAGCCCCTGTCCCACATGCAGGTGGAGCTCCTAGAGCAGAAGGGAGCAAGGAAGAGCCAGCTTCTGAAGCCAGAGTGGGAGGAGAGCAGCAGGAGACCCCGGGGCACCCAACCCAAAGCCAGCAGCGGGGACCAGCCCATCCCACCCCTGGCTGGTGAGGGACTCACATCCAGCGCCCTCTCGGTGAAGGTCTCACTGGGCCCTCGGCTGCGCAGTCGCTCCAGGATCACGGTGTCAGCCCCTTTGGTGTAGAGCCGGATTGTGCCCTGGGGGTCTCGCACTGGAAGGAGGGGAAGGACAAGGAGCTGCCACCCCATCTGGGGATTGCCATCCCCACATAGGGCCCCGGGGACACAGGCCAACCTGGCTGTGCTGCAGGAGGCACCACAGGTGACACTGGTGGTTTGGTACCCACAGTCACAGGAAGCACAGGAATTTCTCCAGATCTACATCACCATGAGGCAGAACCAGGCCTCGAGGGCTGTCACTTCCTTACACACCTCCTCTGGGCCCTGCTTTACTTGCTCTCTCAGCTGCTCATACCCTTCTCTATTGCCTTCACCAAGACATCAGGGCAAGCAAAACCACAGAGATGACTGGAGTTCCTGTGCCAGCTGCCATCAATTGCAGCCACCCTGGTGCCACCCCCTGTAGGGCTGAGAAAGGAGGGGACCCTCTGTAGGTAGGGAAGGTCCCCCTGAGACACCCCAACCCGCTCACCCAGGACAGACATCCTCTTGCGATCACTGTTGAAGTCCAGCATGGCCAGCACTTCGTAGGTCCTCTTCACTCCCAGCTCACTGATGGTGATGGTGTCTTGTGTTCGGGATAGGAAGACATATCCCAAGTCCCTGGCTGCCAGCACCAGTGCTTCTTCATCTGGTGAAGCCGCCTGATAAACTAGCTGGTCTGTGGAATAGGAGCAAGGCTTGGGAAAAGGAAAATCCCATCCGAGAGTCTCTTACACACCTGAAACACCTCGTTCTTGCCCAGCACCAACATTATCTATGGAGAGCCTGAAGTCCAAGCCACCAAGCTAAGGAATCTCAGCCCCTCTTGTCTCTTTTCTTCTGCTCCTTGGGTGGTAAGTGTCCAGACAGGGATGGATTATCCTCCCTGCGCATCTGCTCCAACTATGTGGTTTTAAAACAACCCCAAAATGCCCACGTCTGGGCCAGAGGCTGATGCTAAGACTGCCCCAAAGCATCCCCAGGCTCTCAGGGCACCTTCTCCTCACCACAGCAGAGCTTTGCCATGTGGTGGAAAAGCCACCACAGCCCCCCTGTGCCCTGCAGGGGAGCTGGACCCCACACAGAGCTGACAGCGCAGCCGACCCACCGCCTCTCTCCTCCACCATGACGGTGTGGCAGAGGGCCAGCAACCGCAGGAACTCCCTCAGCACAGGGTCACTGTCTCGCCGAGCAGCTTCCAGTAGTGCCACATCGTTGGAGTCCGACATCTTCTCCCCACGGTGGCTCCAGGTCAGCCCTGACCCCTGCAAGAGACACGGGCAGCTGAGACACCAAGAATGGGGCCACCCTGCAAGGCTTGCCGTGGGGGTGTTGCTAGGGTGAGATACAGCAACCCTGTGCTGGCATGGTCTGATCCAAGTCAGAAACCTTGCTTTCTGCTGCCGACACTAAGGGGATGAGTATTAAAAGGCTAGAAAAATCAGATCGGCAGCGTTCTATAACCCTGTTCCCTTGTCCTTTACCAGCAGCTGAGGAGCAGCAAACCCGCCAGCACAAGGAAGCACATCCCTCCATCTCACAGGAGGGTACCACAGTTGTCAGAAAGCCGTGCTCCACAGCAAAAGGCATCTCCTGCTGCTGCCATAACCAGTAACTGCTACGGCTTTGGCCCCGGTGATGAGCAGTGTTTGGCCCTAAGTTACGCAGGAGAGGGGAATTACGTACCAATGGCTGTTTGTTCTCACGGCCCGTACCCAAACCTGCCAAAATAAAAATAATTCAGTTACTAGAGAGCTGGCAGGGAGCATGACAAGCAAGGGCTTCAAGCAGTTATTTCTACAATGAACTGCTTCTTTTGCTGGCCAAAAACACTGGCAAGAAAGGAAAGATTTTCAGCACCTGCTTGGTGTCTGTCCATTGTGAGCCACGCTCCATTAGGACATCCACATTTGACTTATTTGGCTCTTGGACAGTTCAGACTGTTCAAACTATATGTTTTTCCTGTTAAAAATGCAGGTCTGGCTTTCATCCACATTTCCCAGGAGACTGGAAGGATTATGGCGATGCTGCCATCAGAGGTGCAACATGATGCATCAGACGGAGAAAAACTGTTTTTATGCCTGCTTAAAAACTTTGCTAGATTTTTTTTCCCTTCTCTTTGCTTTTGTCACTATCCATTTGTCTCAAGTGGTTGTTAAGTATCTCAGGAAAAAGGAGCTCCATACTAAAGCTCTAGCCCTCACTGCTTTCACTAATTAAGCACCGTGACAGCCCCCAAAAGGCAGCCAAGAACTCAAATAAATGGAGCAATAAGTGAAGGAAGGACTTGGCAGTTCTTAGGATTCTAAGGGAAAAGAAAAAAAAAAAAAAAAAAAAAAAAAAAAAAGGAAAAAGATCATTACATGCATTCGCCATAAAGAAACAACATAAAAGGAAGGATGACTTCTCTACCTCCACCATAGGTCACCCAAGAGTCTCACAGTACCCAGAGACTTGGAAACAGTGTCTTCAGCCCACACACCAGACCACCAAGATCCACCCACATGCCCCAAGCTTCCTAGGAAGCCAGGAGGAGAGGAAAGAACCAAAGCAGCCTAAATTCAAGGTCTACCTCACTCAGGAGTCCCCACAAACTTGTTACCAATAAAAGTTACCGTAGACAGTCCCATTAATGCAGCATTTCTTGAAGCTCATAATATTTTGTGTCAAGGTGCCAGTCTTGTCTGAGAAGATGTATTCAATCTGGCCAAGCTGGTCATTGAGGCTGGTGCTTCTGGCCTTTGCTGGAATGTCCTTGACAGCATAATACATTTCCAAGTCCCAGTTGATAAAGAAGCTGTTCACCAGATAGATGAATTCAAACCTATGGAGTGAGAATGGAAGAAAGCTTACACCAGGGAAGGAGAATGCATTACTCACAGCCCAGGGGGACTTGGGGATCTGCCTCGGGGAAAAAGGGCAGAGACAAACTGCCTGCCTGGGTCCTGCTGCTCTGAGCTGGGGATAAGCAAGTTTTTGTTGGTGGCCAGGTTTCCAGAAGGCACATCACACCAGACAGGGAGCCCACTGGGTCCCAGGCAGCTGGACTCCTCTGGAAATCTGGTCCTTGATGTCAAAATTCATAGATGTGGAGATTTGGTGAAGGGTCTAAAAGTTTGTCAAGGGCTTTTCCCTGCACAAGTTGTGATTAGCGCCTGCTTGTAATGCCTGTGCCCTTCTCTTCCCCACCCCGCTGCTGCTCCATGGGGAAACACCTCCTTTATCAGTCTGTCCTCTTCAGTCTGGCCCCAGTTTCCAACATCAGTACATCATGTCTTTACATCTCTTTTCCGGCTTTCCTCTGAGGAGACCTCAAAGCATGTTATCAATGTTTTTATTCCACCCATACCCTCTTACAGCCAATGGAACACACGGAAACAACTTGCTCAGATGGACTTTGCATGCATCCCCATTTTGTGGCTAAAATCCAAGGTGCCAGACGAGGGCCAAGGGCAGGGAGAAGGGTGCTGATTGCTGATTGTTTGCAATCTCTGTCGTTCTTACGTTATATACATGGACATGGGTATGATGATGCTCAGGAGGATTGCGAATCCCCAGAAGCTGAAGAAGGCCTGCTTGGCAGGAGCAGTGTGTTTGTAGAGAGCAGAGAGGTAGGTGTGCTTCTCCTGGAACGTCTTGGCCCAGAACCCGGAGGCAATGGCGAGGCACAATGACATGGCCAACAGCACCAGGAAGATCTGAGATGGGGAACCAGGATGAGAGCACCACATCACACAGAGCCCACCAGCCTTTTCTATGGGCTCTGCTGGTCTGTCTGTCTCATCTAACTGTGTGTTCACACTGCACTTACTATGATCACCAGCCGGTCCATCATGCGGTCCAGCTTGGTTTTCTTCCGCTTGATCTTTCCACAGTTCCTCATAATTTTGGAATCAAATCCTGTGCGAGAAACATTTTAGAAGTAAAAACAAGTCCACAGTCCCCAGAATGTCACCTTGCAGCTAAGAGATGCTGCTTTCCTCCCTGGCTCTAAAGGGTTCAGAGGACCATGTCCCTTGATCAGTGGATAATGAAGCCACGTCTGCACACTCAAAGTGCTGCTTATACCAGCGCTCAACCCTCCTCTCTGCCTGGAGTTATCCGTGGCCAAGTTCTCAGCTGTCTGAGCTGTCTGTGAAGGAGGCAATAAAGTGAAGTGGAGCCAGGACGTGATGCAGGTGAAATATAACCTGGAACAGGGGGATGTTTGGAACCACCACATCACCTGCCTACCAGTGAGACCAACACCAGGAAATCTTGGGAGAAACTTTTGGTGGTCTGTTTACTGCAGCAAGTCCTGGTGGTCTGTTTACTTTGCATCAGCAGAGAACAGGACCTCCTGACACTGAAAGCACTTGGGCAGCTTAAAATCCCTGGGGCCCTGGATGTTTCTTGCCCCCTCCTCCCCCCGACCTGGACACTCACCTGCGTAGATGACTAAGCCGTAGCAAAAGTTGGTGTTGCGAAGCTTGCAGCCTCGCAGCAAGATCCTTTCACTGTCAAGCGAGTACGTCTCACCCCGCCACTGCAGCGTGCCGGTGAAGCTGTGCATGCGGCTGTTGGGCTCCTCACAGGTCACCCTCCCTTGATCAGAGGATACGATGCAGGTGTTGGCTTTGGGGGAAACATGGGGTCCTTCCTCTCCTCCCCGTGCCTGTCCCCTCCAGAGAAGAGGGGAAATTGAGATTTCTCTAGTGTGGTTGTTGTATGGGTGACTCAGGTTAAGGCTGGCTGAGCTGGAGCGCCCACCTTCAGTGCTAGGAGGGCGCTCAGCCCAGGGACCACAGGGGGATAGAAAATTGGACACAATCCCCTTCATTCCCAAAGCCCCAAACACCATCTTATGGAGCACCAAAGGGAAAAAATCCAGGGTCTGAACTCAAGTTTGGGAACTAAGTGCTCGATTCTGGTAGGGAAAACAGAAGCCAAGGTAGGGGGGAAAGGTGCACAACCCCATTGCAGAACCACGCTGCTGGGGAATGGCCTCCATGCAAGGGCCTGCAGCTAGAGCCAGCCTCCAGCCTTGTGGCAGGGACACGCGCAGCCTCCTGGTGGAGTGGTGGCACTTGGTGCCCCAGGGGACAGCGTGAGGCCAACAGGAGCATGGAGACCTTCCGAGGCCACACGGGTGTGATCCCAGGGGGACAGACACATCCTGGCCTGTGCAGGGGGCTCACCGTCAAAGGCGGCCACGCTGCCCTCGCTCGTCAGCTCCCGGTGGGTGACTGGAAGGGCCTGCCTGAACTTCAGGTTCGTTTCCCTGCAAACGAGAACCAGGGAGGGAAAACTGAAACAACCCTGCAGGGTGACAGAGTTGTTAATTCTGCTGTCAGACCCATGGGACAGAGGCTGCCATTAATTATCGGGCGATTACATGAGTGACAGTAGTGCTTGGCGATGGAGAGCGAGATAGGGACCTATCATGGCAGGCATCAAGCACTCATGCAGGGAGAAAGGCCTGGCCCCGAGACCCTGTCATTAAATCACCCTGCAGACAGGCAGGCAGTGTCCCCATGCAGCCGAGGGGAACTGGGGGATGATGAAACAGACCCAAGGTCACGAGCTGCTTCATGCAGGACTCGGGGTTTTCCCCAGCTCTGCACAGGCCCCAGACTGTTGCCTCAGAAATTTCTTGGCCCTTCATTTTTGAAATGTGGGGCCCAAGATTAGGGTTTTAATTGCATTTCTGCAGTGTCTATAGGTTTAGCTTTTGGAGGAGCCCCCCAGTGCCTTGATTTCTGCTGGACTTGGGCCTTCCCAGTATGCCCCCCCCCAGGTGCTGGTGGTCCCCAAGGCTGGAGGCTTCAGCTGGGACATCTCCTGCCACCCTCCTCACCCATCGATGTCGGCGGTCTCCACGTAGCACAGGCTGCTGGGCTCAGAGCTGCACAGCAAGAGCATGTCGGCCTTGGAGAGCAAAGGGAAAAGAGCACCCAGCTGAGCCTCTCCTTGACGATACCCTGCCCAAGCACACTGCTGGTCCCAGGGCATCACTCACCGGGACGAAGCTTTCCTTGCGCAGGCGGACGATGTCCCCAACGCAGATGTCACACCATTTCTGCCAGCGGAAGCTGAAGAATTTAGGGGAAAATACGGACATTGCAGACCTGGAGGCTGTGCTTTACCTTCATGGGGCAGTGGGAACATGGATCATAGCAAGGCAAATACTGTTTCTGCCCTCTGGACCAGCCTGTCTGCCCCAGCTTCTTTCATGAACTGGGGCTGCAAATTGTTGGTTCCTCTGCCATCATGGTGGCTTCCTATTTGTGTGACCAAAGCACAGATGAGCACTGAGAATGGCATGGGACCCATTTGTCAATATCCCATGTACCTATTGGAGGCATTGACTCCCAGCCCTGGCACCTGGTGGGAAATGCTGGTCCTTCCCTGGACCAGTTCTTTTGCTAGGTCAGAGTTTAGCAGAAATGCAGCAATGGGTTAGCTGTGAAGACCTGGAGGAAATTCTGTGGCTGGAAAACTCTCCTCCCAGCTTATCACAGCAAACCAATGCTTCTTAGACCTGTCGTCTGTGAAGGGATATGATCATCCCTACAGGGAAACACCTGGACCTTCAACAGATTCTGGGGAGTGGTGCTAGTTTGCAGGGTCAGGCATGGTCCCATCAAAACCTTTCATAACTGCTACATCCAAGGGTGCTCAGCACCATGATGATCCATTGTTCCACACATATTTACTGCAAGATGGTAAAGAAAACACAGGTAAAGCTCCCCAAAGCCCCTCACCTCTTCCCAGACAGGATTTCACATGGCCTGTTGTTGATGTTTCTGTCACTTTGGTGACGGCCCTGCACAAAGGCAAGCAAAACAAGAAGCCAAAAGAAAGGTATAGGGCACGTCAGACTTTCTTGTTCTATGAAAACAACCTTCTTAAATGTCATAATCTCTGGGTTTCTCAGTCCTGGGACAAAATCTGCTTTTTGAAGCAATTTGAAGATGTATTCTGATGAATAAAGAGGCAGAAATCCCCCAAGATATTTCTGGGGACCAAATTGGGAATATAGCCATTGGCTGGGATATTAAAGATTACAGGATAACAGAGGTGGGACTCCAAGTCTTAAAGGAAAGCAACTGTCTGGTCACATCCTTTCAAAGGGAACAAAGCACTTTGGACATGGTAGAGCTGATGGTACCTCAAATGATGGCATCTCCCAAACTTTCCAGTTCACCCCAGAGCAAAGGGATCCTTCCTGCTGACCTGCTCCCCAGTAACTGTGCCCAATACTCCCAGCCTCCCTCCAGCCCATACTCACAATGTCATCGATCAGGTCTCGTAGGGCTCGGATGGTGAGAAGACAGCTCAGGGGGAACAGCAGGGTGTACCAGGGCAGCGTGGAGATCTCAGGAATGGTCTGTGGAAGAAGAACGGTACCTCACTGCAAAACTTTCATCCCTCCTTAGGACACTTTAGGTCTCAACTCTCCTCCCTAGGCAGTGCCCAAGGATGGCTGGAACCTAAAATGAATCAAATTAGCATCTCTGTCTACACAGAACTGCTTTGTTAAATTTCTACCTCTTTTTATGTGGATCACTGAGCGAGGAGAGTAGGAGTTTTGTTTAGGAATTGTCTATGTGATCTTAGCTTATATCCAAACCCAACCAGTTTAAAATAACCCAAAATAGCCAAATAATGAATATTTTAAGCCCCTCAGAATTCCCAAAAGGCAATGAACACCACTGAAACCCAGTATGTTTGACACCATTTTATACTGTCAGTGCAAAAGAAGAACTGACTTCAGCTCTAGTGAAGAAAACCAGACGTACCAAAATTGTGTGAACTAACTGCAGAAAATAATCTTAAATAATGAGGCTACTGTCATTGTGAAAAGCTCTCAAAGCACCATGTAACCTCTTGAATGATATTCCTTCAACATCTGATTCACCTCCATGCACCAACAGGACTTTCGTCTACTGGCTTTTGCTGTGAACCGTGCTTCCTTAATCCCTTACCTGCTCTGCAGTCATACCTCAAATGCCTGGAGGGTATATGAGTTTGTCCTGGTCTCAGCAACTGATCTTGTGAGACACAGATCTTCCTTTTGCTCCTCACACAGAAGAATTGTTTCTCATAATGAATGAGATGGCTCAGTGGATATAGTTGCATATTTTAGGGCTGCATCTAACCAAATAGAAAGCCCAGGAGAAGTAACAGGTTGAGATCCCACAGTGGTCCTCTAGAAAGGTTGGAGACGGGAACCCAAGTACCCTGTCAGGCAGACCCCTACTCTGAACACCAGCCAACCCTCCTTAGCTGGACAGCCTCTCACACAGGAGCTTTTACCTTGGTGTTCATCTCACCTGTAAGAGGATGACAAAGACAAAGTAGACATTGGCCATTCGGTGGAACTGCTCATAAAGGTTCAGCGGCAGGAAGGTCAGGATGTTGTACTTGGCTGTCTTAATGGCATTGCCCTTCCAATAAAAAAAAAAAGGTTATGTGACTTAAAACTGAAACAAAATATTGTGCCTCTGATCATCTGTAACTTATCTAACTGATCCCCAACAAAATGCTTGTTATTTAGCTCTGAAAAAAAAAAAAAAAACCATGTTTTTGTTCAATCCAAACTTTTTTCATAAATCTTTCTTTTGATTTGATCATCAGACTAAAAATTGACCTTCATACAGTTCTGCTCCTTGTCTCAGAGCTCCAGAGGGCATTTAGGGCAAAGGGCTGCCCTTCCTCTTCATTGTGGATTATGTTTGTGACTCTCCATCCTACTGGGGATCGCTATGGCACCTCTGTCAGGTCACCCCCTGACCACCACCAGCTCAGGGCATCAGGAGCTGGTAGAGAAATGGCCCAGGACTGGCACAATCTGACTCACCGCATACTTCTTCTTGGTCAAGCAGAAGGCAAATTTCTTCTTGAACTGCATATGGTAACTTCTGTTGTTGGCCCTCACTTCCCAGGTGAAAGCTGGAAAAGCAAGCGGTCATCAGCCAGGCCCTGGCCACCAACTGCTGGCCTCCAGGGACAGGAGGACCTGTTTTGGTGTCACTGGGCTCCTGGTGACATACTTGTGCTGAGATGGGCTTTCCATAATGCAGTGACACCTTGGGAGCAGACAAGCGTAGGTGGGACAGAGCTGGGTCTTGGGGACAGCTGGGTTTATGGAGTGGACAGAACAGGCAGGAGAACAGAAGTTTCCAGAGGTGTAGGACTGCTGCCCACGCTTCCCCTTGGAGCCTCAGGGTAAGCATTTGTGCTCAGGTTTTGGTTTAACAGTGAATAATCAGGGCAGGTGAATGACTCCTCCAGGCACAATTCTTGCTATTATTAAAGCTGTTTGTTCCCCTCCCATTTCATTTTCTGCTATCCCAGTGCAGATAGCACCAAACACAGGACACCACAGCCATGTTCCCCAGCTCCTGCACCCCAACTGATGGCCTATCCTCCCAGACCATTCCCCCTGGACATTTTCCCCACCTCACATCCCCTGTCCTATACTCAACCACCTCTAAATAAAGAAAAACCCCAAGCCACACTCATTGCATGCTGACCTGGCAGCTTCTTTTTCTCATGCAGGCAGCCTGAGGCTGGGTCACGGTCATCCATGCTGGCACTTCTAGGAACAAACTGGACCTAGGAACAAGCACAAAAATATTTGCAATGCTGAGCAACAACAACATGGGCCCACCTGAAGGCTCTAAAGCTGGGGGCTTCGCCCCTCCAGGGCAGGACATCACACAGAAGGGATATTTCTGAGCACAGCAGGATGACTTCCCTGAAGCTGCAAATTAACAGAGATCTTTTTACTATTCCAGAGAGTTAAAATTACACCCTCAATATTGACATGAGGTCCTCAGTGGCCACTTGAATGCCACAGAAGGGGGGTGTCAGGCTGAATATTTGTTATGAGAAAACTTCCTTCTCTCTTTGAAACCTGATTTCCTTTTCCTTGCCTTTTGCAGGACCAGCAACAGCTAAGATCCAACGTGGTGTGGAGCCTCTTTCGGACCCATCTTGCCCAGTCCCAGCTGCCTGTGACAACCCAAAAATTTTCTCTCCGAGGAAGTTGTGAGAAATCATTGAAGTCAACAGCACAGAGGAGAAATTCTCCCCATCCTGCCATCGCACCCAAGCATCCGTCATGCCGAGGGAGCAACCACCTTCATCAACGACAAGAATTTTCCTTACGCTCAGTAGCTCAGTGACCTCCCCTGCAGGGATGTTAGGGAAGATTAATTAATGTTTGTGAAGTGCTTTGTGATCCTTACATGAAAGAAGCCAGTGAGGTGTAAAGCTTTAATTACCTTATTATTAAATAATCCTACACAGAAGTCTGTCCCTGCCATTATTTCTTATCTCATACCTTTGATCACTTCTTTTTTTCCCATTCTTTCACTAAGTGGCTACTCCTCTCCCCGTCACTCCTCCTGGTACAAGGCAAACTTGCTATCAGCTGGCCCTGACACACACCGCTGCCCTGAGATGCTCTCGGGTGACACCAGCATCTCCAGCACTGCCACCTCACCCCGGGTCAAGGAGGCCCCAAACATGGGCAGCACTTCAGCTCCAGGTTTTGCCCATGTCCAAGAGCTTGGCCAAAAATAAGTCTTATCCACATCATCCTTCTTTACCACTAAAGACTGCATTTGTAGTTGAATCCTAAATTGCACCTGTAGAGTCAGCACATTTGGGGCCCATCAACATTTTCACAGCATGACTGAGGAGGAAGATGCTGCAGAGAAGAGCTGCTGCACGTGGTGGGTGGGACACTCGTGCAAAGTCCCACAGCTCCAACACCCTCCTGTAAGAGGGAGCAGGAAGAGTGGGGATGCCTGGAGAGATGAGATTCCTGCACAGAATGGGAACCGAGTGCCCAGCCCAGCTATTTCCACTTGGTTTGGGTAAAATAAGGTGGCGAAGGATTTGACACAGAGAGATGCAGAGCTCCCACCTTCCTCCCTGAAGCTGAACACTCATAGCCACGATGCTGTCAGCTGGGGACGTTTTCCCCTGCAAATAGCCAGGGCTACATCATGTTGCAAAGAGACAAGGGAGGCACAGCAAGGTCCTCACCAGCCCGAGCCCACCCTGCGGTCCCCAGCAGACCCAGGAATGGCAGCCAGGATCAGCCCTGAGCCCGGCTCTGCAGGCAGGTTTGTGGTGATGAGGCAGGTCCAGAGCCCAGGAGTCAGCAGGCAGGTCAGGATCGGCTCTGGCAGCCAGCTGAGGCCGTTAACCCCTGGTAGGGCCCTTGGGACCCTGACCCATCACTCACAGCATCTCCTGGCTCCTTGCTCCAGGACATCGGCATGAAAGCTGAGGCTGGCAGAGATGAATGCCAAGGTGTTTGCTTGGGCTTGCTGCCTCCAAACCAACAAAACGTGTGATTGCTTTGATCAAGAGTCTAAGTCCACGCTGCCTCGAGTCTCACCAAAAAACACTGGAAGACCTCAGCTCTGCTGCTGGCCGTCCCTGCAGGAGGTGCCTCTGCGCTCAGGATCAGGCCTGAAGGTGGATGTCCACCACGTCTCCACGTGCACAAGCCCCCTGGTACCACCTAATGATTGCTGTTACCCCTTCCATGCTCTGCTCCTCGGCTCCAGAGGACCCGTGCTCCTGGATGATGCCAAATGAAGGTGCAGCTAATTAAGAACTAGCAGTTGGCAGATGTGGGGACCTCTGGGGAGCTGAGCACCGTGCACAGACAATCTGGAAAACAACCCCTGCATCCAAGCCTTAACAGCAGGGGAAAGGCCAAAAAAAGGGGGAAAAAAAAAAAAAACAAAAAAAAAAACTGATTCAAAGCACAGCAGAAACAGCTCCAAAGAGGTACCAGCAGCGAGCTCACATTGATAACTGAAAATAAAAATTACACCTTGGGCATGTGGGAACAAGCATTAATCGGGTGCCAGGGCAGGTGGCAAACCTGAGCACGAGCTCCATCGTGGGGCAAGAAAGGGCTGGAGATGGCCAAAGGCAGAAGACAGCCTCTGGCTGCACTGACAGCGATTAACGAGCCCACGGGAAGCTCCACCAGCTGCCGGCGCTCTGACCTGGTGGGGAACGGCCGGTCCTGCCTGTCCCCGGGGTCTCAGCAGCAAAATGCAGCTGCAAATCAGCAAAGCGAGGCTGCTTCATGCTGACAAGACACGGCGCTTTGCCCAGGGCAAGAAGCAGGGCTTTCTCACCCCAAACTGTACTTTTGGGCTAGTGGAGGTTTGCATGGATGAACACAAATAAACCAGATTTAAAATGGGAAGAGGCACTGACCAAATGGGACTGGCTTGGGAGAGTGAAACACGTGGAGATGACTGTCAGGGGCTGAAGTGCCCTAGCCCCCCGTTACAGGGCCGTACAACACATTTTGTGATGGTTTTGCCTCTGAAATGGCCCCATAAATGTTTGGTTGTTGCTTTGGTCAGCACAGGTGTTAGTATGAAAAGTGCTTGCTTCCATGCGAGCGTCTGTCAGACCCACAGCAGCCACCGGCCAGAACTGGGGGTTTCTGGTTGTGTTTCTTCCCTGCCTGCTCTCCCCTCTCCCCTCCCCCCCCCCCCAAAAAAAAAAAAAAAAAAAGAGCTCCAGCAGTGCTTAAGGGAAAAAATGACAGCATGGTGTCAGCTTCAGCTGACCTGAATTTTCCATTTTAAAGAAATCTGTGGTTTTAAATCAAGCATCTGCTTAAGTTGTCTCCCTGACTTTCCGTGTTTTGGCAACTTTGCTTTTCATCGAGGGCGAGCCACCTCCTGGCCAAGATGCCAAAGGATCTCCCTGGGAACCTCACGTCCCCTCGGGACAACAAGGGGGTGAGGGTCTTGGTGCCAACCCGCCGGGGACCTCACCTCTGCCGGATCGTGGGCGCTGCCGCAAGCAGCCTCAGCATTGCTGAGCTTGTTTACCCAACAGCCACATCCCTGAGGGGCCCCAGCTGGTGTTCTGCCCCCACGGGACCCCGATCCCACAGCCCTGGGAGGTCCCCACTTGCCCACCAGCACCCCCAGCATCGCCCCGTTCCCGGAGCACCAGGGGCTTCTCCAGCTCCATGGTTCCCACAGGCTCAAAACAGGGTGATTAATCCCAGCGCACACATTCAGATTTTAACCAGAATTAATCACATTTGGGTTTCAGCTGCCTGGGGTGCCTGTATTTCTGGAGGAGGCTCAGCAAAGTAGGGTGACTGTGTCAGACCAGAGTCTGCCCACTGCTGGGCATGGTCCCACTGAGCCCCATACATGGGGGCCCCTGCAGGAATGCTTAAAACAATAAATATATATATATATAAATACATAGGTTTAAAACATGCTGCTGGTTAAATAGGGTTAAAACAAGCCAGAGATGCCCTGTCCCATGGGTGACGCCGTGCGATGAGCAAGTGGATGAAGATGCCTGGCAGCAGCCAGCTCATGCTTATCACACTGGGCGGAAACACCCCCGCACCGTGGCCAGATCCAGCCCAGGAAAGCCTCTGGGGGCTTCCCAGACATGCCCAGGCCGTAAATCTCCTTCCACAGACTGCTTGCTCACCCTATTATTCCACCTGCCTGCTGCTTTGATCCAACCCCATGGGAAAATGCAGCATCCCTGTCCCCATCCCGGTCCCTGTCCCCATCCCGGTCCAGGAGAACCCCAAATCTTCCCCTCTGCCCAGCAGCCAAGAAAGGAAAAAAGTGCTCTTAGAAGGGGGCTCCCCCCTCTCCCCAGGGTCCACAGGGACAGACGCAGCCCCCAGTAGAGCACCCGCCAGCCACAAGCCCCCCGGCACCCACCCAGTGCCGGCAGCACCCACGGGTAGGTGCCCAGAGCAGGCAGGATGAAGGGGGGCTCAAGGGGAGAAGAATAGGGAAAAAGCAGAAGGAGAGGCTGTGCCACACTCCCCCAGGCTCCCCCGTACCTGCACCGATCCTGCCCGTGGCCCTGCTGCCAGCTGTGGCTGCCACCGCCCTGCCCAGTGGGGCCATGGGACAGCCCCCGCCACACCTCCGGTGCTGGGCTCCCTGGGGACCCGCCTGGCCCTGGCACGGATCCAGCCTGCACAGCTCAGCCCCAGCACCTCCTGCTCCAGGGAAGCGTCAGCACCCTCCAAACCACAGCCGAGGATGCAAGGGCAAAGCACGGGGGTGTTCGGGCAGCGAGCACGCATGGGGGGCAGGATGGCACTGGACTGGGGAGACTGGTTTCACTGGGAGTGCCCCAGTCCCTCCGAGACCCCAGGTTTGGCACCGGCTCCACTGCTCCATGAAGAGCGGGGAAGAAGCAGGGGCCAGGCGTGACCCTGGGGATGGGAGGTGGAGTTTCAGATCCCTGGAAGAGGGGAGAGGATAAAAATCAGCTCTTTGGGGCAGCTCAGTAACACCAACCCCAGAGAGCATCCCCGAGGGGAGAGCCAGTCCCATGGATCCCATGTCCCCCTCAAAGCCTCATCCTGGGGCTGGGGCTGGTTCTCCAGCACACCAACAGAAATACCCCACTGTGGTGGTCCTGCATTAGCCATCATTAGATTAATTGCTCGCTGCAATTAACCACAGAAACCTGGAGGTGATTAAGCAAGTGCTAGGCTAGCAGTCCATAAAGCATTTATAGTGCAGCCACGAAGAACTCGTCTGAGGTCCATAAACAACACATCCACACT